TCAGTTAAATCCTTATTCACCACTTAGTACCTCTTCATTTTACCACATTTCGTCAGTTAAATCGTTATACACCACTTAGTACCTCTTCATTTTACCACATTTCATCAGTTGAATCCTTATACACCACTTAGTACCTCTTCTTTTTACCACAGTTCATCAATTAAATCTGCAAACACCTCTTGGTACCTCTTATTTTTACCACATTTCACTAGTTAAATCCGCAAACACCTCTTTTACCTCTTTTCGTCACATTTTACGTTGTTCCCGTCCGTCGTTCTAATGCAAGTTAATATTGTAATTTAGTGTAACAGTAATGTAAATATATGAAACTGTTTCTTTTTTCTTTCCTTCTTATATGTCCGGCAAACCCATCTTGCCATGCTTACCACACTGGCGGATCATGGTGAAAAGATTAGTTAAATTCGTTCTCTTCTCAATAGTCACACCTATAACTTTTACTTTTGTTTTCCTCTGTATCTTTCTCAAACCCCATATTGTCATTCATACCACACTGGCAGATCATGCTAAACCGATGACATTTGCAAACTCCTATCTACATTCACAACTATGATTTTTCTCTTTGTCTTGGCATATTTTTCTGTTTGCAAGCCCAGATCGTACTACACCACTCGGGCATTTGATAATTTCAAAATGGTGGTCACCACTGTGGCAGCTCCTTTATTAGACATCTTTTTCTGATGACAACATGCAGTATTCTTATATTCCGCCGTTTATTATTCTACAAATATGTGATCTTTTACTTTTGTGTAGTTGAATCCTCATACAATCAAAAAATCAAATATAAAAGACGTGCTTATTGTAAAATGTGTATTAACAAAATTGTCGATTAGTTTTGTTATTAAATGGTTCAACAATCGATATAGGCAATCTTTCATACCTGTTTAAATAATTACTTATCTCAATAACATTTTAATCCAAAACACTAAAATTAGGAAAGCTACATCATGTTAGTAAAGACTTTTTTTATTAATATACTAAATGTTTTGTTTTAATTAATATTTGAATTTTCCGTATAAATACTTACGAAACCGTGTTCATCCAGTGAGATGGACAACATATTTTACATCAAGGTCTGAATAGCAATCTATTATCTCAACAGTAACATTTTCTACACATTAACACAAGTCTTTATTACAACAGTTGCAGTGTTTTCACTCAAAATATATTTGTTTTACTGATAAAACTACTGACAACTGTATTGTATGTATATTTGAAGAGGATTTTAAAACGTTATGAGACACAGGTTAACAGAGTTTCAGTAATGACATTTAGGCGGTTCATTTAGCACTTGACGTTGAAAAGCTCTCCGCGCCAAATTGACTGTAACTAGAATTGTATCAAATGTCTCGTTACACGACAACATTGACTCTTGTCAACCCTCGCCATTAGTAATCGGAGACTTTGACATTACTTGCTCACTCGCCTCTGGATTTCATTTTGTTTGACAATTTTTGCCAGGTAAAAGTTGTTCGCAGTTTATTTTGTATGTAATTTCTGGCGACAAAACGTGGTTGAAGAGGTTTTTGCCCCTTCATTTCAAACAAATTTGTTTCTGATCTTTGGGGATGCATCTGAGACTTTATGGGGTAAAAATTGCTTTACCCATTTTTGACCCTGTAAACTGTTGCAATTTATTCCTAGACCAATTTGTAAATCTTAAAAATAAAATAATTACGTATATTGAAGCGTTGTTAGGGGCCTATATACTAGATGTTAAGTTACAGGGAAAGTTCCAAAAAATTGTAAATTTAATGTTATTTTTATGGAGAATAAGTAAGCTGTTGTAGTTTGCTTGTTTTTTAAATGTATTTTTTAGCGAACTAGGCAAATTTGTTTATTTCAAACTAAGCTATCAATATTTAGGGGTGAAAATTGCGTTTGCCCTTTTTGTCCCTAAAATCATAACATTTTGCAATGTATTCTTAAACTAATTTGTAGAGCTTAAGAAAACAAATAATTTAGTATTTTGAAGACTTGTTGTAAACCTACTGGTTACGGAGAAAATTTACAAAAAACTGTAAATTTTAAATGTTTATGTTATTTTTAAAGATAAATAAATAAACGGTTGTAGTTTTTCTTGGTTATGAATTTATTTTAACCAAATTTGCAAATCTATATTTCTATATAAAAACATACTTTATTTTTATTTTTTACCATCCCTGTGGCAGCATACCTAAGTAGGGTAGGCTACTCATAAAAATTAATCCTATTTAAAAAGGATATGAATCTGACAATTTTAAGGGTGTATTTTAGTGAAAATCTAGCCAGTTAAATGGAAATTTGCATATATATATATATAGTTAAATGTATATATATTTTTATGCATGGATAGATATTTGTTTGCGAACCATCTAGTTTTATATCAACTATATGTATTTGAAAAGACCGTGAGACCTACGTGAAAACTGTTGATTAATCAAACAAGAACTTAATAAGCAAATGAATGGTTTCCCCCCTCTACAAGCCCCTCAGTCACCACCCCGTCTAACTGGGTCACCTCGTGGTTATCCACGCCACATATCTTACAGTTACGACCTAATTCACTGTGAATTATGTGTTCCTGGAAACACCTTATTTGAGGTGTTAAAGTTATTGTTACCTCACTCATCCCGTCGGTTTAATTGTACTTTATGTGTTTGCTACCGACTAATTTTTTATATAAACACTCTTATGGTGTTGTTTTTGTGAAATTAGTTAACAGTTGATGATTTACTTTTGACTATATAGAAGTTTAATATGACCCAGGACCTTGTTTCGAATCATGTGGCGCCGACGGCTCACTCCAAAGAGGCCCATATATTTCCCAAATTTTCGGTGGCTAGGAGATGGGTTTAGAAAGACAGGTGGGATTATTTCAACTGATTGAACTCAACTGTTTCAACGATTTGTTTTTTTTTTTTTTACGATCCGATCGGCGAAACTAGGAGATTAGCCACAGTGCCATTTTATTTTTATGGCAATGTAAGAATTTCGCAGACCAGATTATTTTTATTTTGGGTCGGGTCGGTTGAGAAATGTTTAGGCTACCTTTGGGTCTCGGGTCAAAATCGGGATTGTAAAAAATCTGGTTGCTTTGGAAAGTGTTTAAAAAAATATTGATTGTAATACTACAATCGGTTTCTATGACTTTTGCAATCACTAGGAATCCGTGGACATCGTCCGCGGTCGTGGCGAAATCGTGAACATCTGATCGTGGAGACATCAATGTCGTCTAATGTGATAATGGCGAAATCAAGAAGAAATTTCGCGTTCGCGTGGACTTTATTTTCGTCTTCTGCAACTAGGCCTACATCGAAATATTTCTTTATCAATCGTGCAATCTTCGCAGCCGATTTCGGCGGTCGCGAGAATAAGCTCAGCTCGAAAATAAAAACCGTTCGCTCATCTTTTAAGATTCTTAAATTCTAATAACTGATTTTATCGTGAAATTTATTTTTCATCATAAAAAATATTATGTGAGGCCGCGGCTGCCGTTTCCATCGTTTGACAAACACGGCGCTGATTTGACCCCTATTATAAGAAAGTATACACTATACAGTATTGAGAAGCAGCAGTGAGAGAAATGCAATCAATTTAGTTAAAAGTCAACTAAACCTGAAACCACGTGTAACAGGTCGGAGCTACGGAAGCAATTAGGCAGCAATATCCTGTTGGTATCGTTCTATATCTCTCTTTTCAACTGCATTTTTGTCTATCTTACTCTATGTAGATTGCTTGTTGGGTGTACCAAGCCATCATCCAGCGGTTTCATAAATAATTTCAACAAAATGTGTAAAGTACACGTATCTTCTTTTAGAAATTTGTATACATTTACTTATTATAATTATGGAAAAAATTACAACATATAGTTTTGTTTAGTCTCTTACCTCTTACCTAAGTGTTTCATTTTTCTATTAATCTGTGAATACTCGTGAAATGATCTATAAATCACGAGTAAAAAGCCTACTTGCACTTCTACAAATGCACAATACTCACAACTTCACTGAATCAACCACAGCTGTGAAAAATAAAGTTTTGACAGTTATAATATTCATAACTTTTTAAAATACATGCCTAGTTAATTTTGTCTTCTCTAATGCGCACATTACTGGTGTTTATTCAATCATTATGTATTATGTAATGATTATTAATGATAAAACACACATTTAAATATCTTATTTTGTCAATATTCCTCAATGGAGGCAGCATCAGCTCTGAGATCTCGGCCTCGTGTTTACGAGCACATCAGATAACATGCTCTCAACTCATAAACGCGACTTGACAAGATGAAAATGGACCAAACGATGCTCGTAACTCTTCCTGTATACCATTACAAAAGTGAATTGCTTGTCTAGCAAAGCACAACACTGATCTACCAATGTTTGTTCTATCATTCAAGCTGATTTAATTTATTTTCTGAAGAGTCCTTGGATGCTTAGCGGCCATCTTAAATTATTTTTCACCACACAATGATGTTTTTAGCCGTTTTACATACTCTAAATTGAAGGCTGAAAGTTACGTTTTGCTGGCCTTGCCAGCTGTCGTCGTCATTTGGGGACCGAGCATGTTTTACATCCTTAGGGTTGCAAAATCAGCTGCCCGCTTATTTTCTTAAAACACGAATGCATATTAAATACACAATCAGTAACCATCCATAACATTGCAATAGAATTGTTTTATTGTCACCGCTGCCTAGGAACTATTTATTATTATTCTTCCTGATTATTATTTCTTCACATAACCTTAAAGTTATAGTTAGTTGTGTTAACTCTCATCGTGCATTATTATTGTGGTGATTAGTGGTAATAGGGTATGGTAATAGGGTCGAGGAATGGCATCACCACATAGCTAAATTTATTAGCGAATAGCTGGATTTGAATCTGATTCTCCATTACAGAACCTGCACTTTAGCCACTAGAGTAGTCTCGTTTTTTCTCAATACTGAATATTTTTTTATGCATTCCAAGAAACTTTATGTTAACATGATCTCTTTTTTGCAGTGAGACTACACGACAGTATACAAGAAGAAAACTTCCACTACCTCGTCTTCGATTTGTAAGTTTAAGCTTCTTATTAATACACATTTAAGAGTTCCTTAGTAGAATTCCATTTTAGTGAGTGTTTTTCAACCATTACCAAGTTTTGTTGAAACTAAACCAAATATTTTATAAATAAGTAAAAGTAATTCATGACCATCATTTTATTTTAGTTAGTATAGGCCTACATGTTCTTGTTGTTGTTATATTTAATTATAATTTTGTCATTTTTGTATTTATATTTTGAGTTAAATTGTTTCAAGACTGCCACTATAGTAGACGCACATTTTTCACCTTGTTAAATTTATTTAACATGCTTAATGATACAATGTAATTGACAATGCTGTTTTGTAGCATTGTAAAATGAAATAAATAAATATACCTAATAAAATAAAGCTACAGTCAATAATTTTTTTTATTAGCAGATTTCTATTACAAAGACTAGATCCAAGAAATTTCAAGTAATTAATTTATTAAGTGATATCAAAATATTCAAAGTTGCATTAAAAACTTTACCCCATAATACTTAATCATAAATATATTTAAATAAAATAAACAAAAAATAAATTGTAGCTCATTTGTTAGATTTTACCTAACTTAGCTATGTTACATAATTTATCGCTGATCCAAAGAGGTAAAGTGTGAACGAAATAATCACAAAGGTGAAACTAAAACTCATTAACCTTGCCAATAACTAATTTCCCACCAAGAGATGCTGTCAACGGCAGTAGTTGTGTTTTGCCCAGAGCTTCTCCACTCTTAGTGAAGAGGTTTGCCATCATTGTGGGAAAATTAATAATTTTAGTCTAAATACACAACGTATGGTTAAGACATTTTCATTTAACCATTGTTGGAAGGTAAAGAGCTAACGTTGCGATTTTTGTTTTTGACGTATCTTAATTATTGTGAGTTTTCGTTAAAACCCCTTTTGAAATAGCTACAATGATGTTAAGGAAATTGTCTCTAGGTTAATGAGAAATTTTGCAAATATTATTCATAGGAACGTTATAAGGTAGGCCTATTTTAATAGTTAATGGGTGGCATTCAATTTTCTTCACAAAATTGATTTGTATAGTTTTGTTGTTTTTACTAATTTCTGTTTAACTTTTTTAGTATAATCGGTTTTATTTATTAAAATTTAGGAAAATAGTTGACTTGCAACAATTTCATTGAATCCTAAGGTGGGGGTTCAGGCTGCAAAAAAATAATGCTGTATACCGCACTTGATTTTGGGTCATGTGGTTCTTTTCTCCCCATTCTTCCTGCTATTCTTTCTTGGCTGATGTTTCACCTCTTACTTATGATTTGTTTGTATTTCTTGTTTTACTATTATTTCATGGGGTTAAGTTCTTCTTTCCATTTCCTTTTTTCTATCTTAATCTCCTACTGTTCTCGTACTGGCCATCAGGTGTAAAATATTCTTTTCAGCCATCTTTTTACGAATACTTGAAGTTTTATTGTTTATTCTCTTGTAGCTGCTGGAAGTAATGACAATTTTTTACCATCTAATTCATAGCTGTTGACAATGGAAAAGTGACTATTTTGTCCTCAATATTTGCAGAGTGACTGGAGGCGAGCTGTTTGAAGACATCGTAGCCCGAGAATTCTACAGTGAAGCAGATGCATCCCACTGCATTCAGCAAATCCTCGAGAGTGTTCATCACTGTCACTCAAATGGAGTCGTCCACCGGGACCTCAAGGTAAATAATACCTATAATCTGTGTAACCTATTACCCTAAAATAGATAAATTAGAGTAACGCTTATTCAAGAACATATATCAATACAACTCTTCAGAGGTTGAAATATTTTTAAGTATATAAACACATCAATGGTGTCATGTGCTTGGGTTTACTTAAAGATGTTTGACTTATTTTTCAACTCAGTATACTTAGGGTAGTTACAAAATATTGTTTCTTAGAGATGCAGCCCGGATTTAGAAAGGGAGGGTCCATCCATTGTGGACAACATTTAAGGTGGAAGAATGGTTAGGGAAAGGTGGTGTATTGTTTTTAATATAAATTAGTTTTCATTTATTCAAACAGTATACGGAGTGATCAACTCAAGGAGGCCACCATTGGGATATCGGAAACAATAAGAATTATAGAAAACTTTAAATGGGGGACATTCCTTTATTTTTTGTGGCAGTTAAAAATATGAATTTATTTTTTCGAAATTCAGCCGCCATTTTCCAAAATGTCGGCCAACTTTGAAATTTCTTATGGAACACCCTATATTTTATCATGTTTTCGGATAGAACATGCAATTTCAAGTTCTTATATGATCACTGCTTGTGCTTGTGATGCACAGAAATTTGAAAAGTATTACGAAGATTTGTGTTATTGTAAATAGCCTAAATCAACTATTCTGCAATCTTGTCTTTATATGACATGAGAAATGTTTGAAACTGTTGTAACGTGATTTCGTTTAAAGCTGTGATAATTCAATGATATGGTGTTTTACTATGTTTTGTATGTAATAGTGGCCAAAATTACGTAACTATTAATATATATAAAACTAGCAGAGTACCCGTCCTTCGTACGGGGTTGGCATAATGTCATATAAGTATAAATGCTTATTGTAGTTATGGGAGAGGACACGGTTTAAGAAAATTTGGTCTTTTAATTTATACGGTATCCTATAGTGTCCTACAGTATCTACCATAGCCCTAATTTTCTACCACTGCACCTAAACCATGAAAAAAAGTTAAGTTCTCATTGTGTACCACAACTTTTTGTTGTTAGTTGGTTAAAATTAGCTGTGGTCATAAATAGAACCAACTTGTGAAGTTGAAACGGCTGACAAAATTCTTTAATTTCTTTAAATATGAATACTCATAAGGTTTACATGAGAAACTCCAGAACCAGAGGCACTGGGGCGGAGCCTGAAAGGATTTTTGACGTAAGAATATGTCTATATGTTAATCGGGTATGTCAGCTATCATCATACTAAATTTCAACCTTGTCAGTTTAGTATTTTTCGCGTTTACTTGTCACAAACATCCATCCATCCATCCATACATCGGTACATCCAAACTTTCTTACTTATAATATTAGTAGGATAAGTAAACTGTTGTAATATTGCTTGTTTATGGATAGATTTTTTTCAAACTTGGCAAATTTATTTATTTCATAGTAAGCTAATGATTTTAAGGATGTGTCCTTAAAATCACACTTCGTTACCCTCCCTGTAGGCAGCAAAAACCTAGGTACTCGTTAAACCTAATGTTATTGAATTAGATTTCATTGAAAATAAAGTCACACAAATGGAAATTTGCTTTGGCTGCAGGTTTGCTGCGGTGGGTGTATTATGGAATTGTAATTTATGTAGAAAGAATACTTTGTGGTACTACATGATTAACTCTAATTCATATTAGATACTAAACAAATCAATCCCGTTGGTGCAATTAGTAGCGCCATTTGAACAGCTACTGCAAATCAGCGCTACTATTCGTATTTGCTAGCAGCTATACCCGTGCCTTGCAACGGGGTCAGTATGCAAAAGAGACAATGTTGGTTAGAAACATGCCAAATGGTTTTCCAAATCCCAAATTTAGAAACAAAATTTAACTGTACTACTTAACTTGATAATAGTACGTTTTTGTTAACTCTTACTGTGATTAACTATTTATGCTACCTACGATACAAAACCAAAGATAGATTTTAAGGTATAATAAAAGAACGTATTTCATGGTTTGCACTGTAAACGAAAAACTATCACAATAGTTCCAAACCGAAAAATAGGAAAATAGAAATAAATAGGGAAAATAAGGGTAATTTTATAACATATTTTAGTGAAATTATAATCAGACAAACGGAAATTCGCTCAGTCTACAGATTTGCTGCGGCAGGGGGGTTATTACTGTTTACACAAAAAAAATAAAAAAAAATAAACCTCATAAAACTCAGGATAAGAGCCTAGATTGATACAGCAATGATTATAGAATCTTAATTATTTCCTATATCCATGAACATTTTTTTTTACAACGAATTATTCCCTGTAAAATATTATTACAGCATTTCACAAATATTAGAACAGACTCAGTATAATAAATAGATCATAAACATAAACAAATGAAGTAACTGAAAAAAAGCATATACTAATGAAATTCAAATTACATAAACATATGGTTTGACAGCTCCATTTAAGTAATGTTAAATAATGTTTACATTCGGGCTAGTGACATCATTATTTTAAATTTATAATCCTTACCCTCTCTGTTCTAATATTCGTGCAGTATTTAATATGTTTGAACCAGCTGTGTGGAATTATGAAATCAAAATTCATTTGACAGTTAGTTCTGCTTGTTTACATTTTTAAACTTTGTAGGTTTGTTCTTTGTTACCATGGATACCATCAATCAATATTTACTTTTAAATCTCTCACCTCAAATTTTTGAAAGCCCACGGGGCAGAGCCCTAGGACAATATTGAAGCGGGAATAGTTCTATATGTATCCTCGGAGATGTAGCTTCATTTGTGTGCAATTTGAGCCCAGTCGGTTCAGTAGTTTTTGAGATTACCTCATACAAACACACACACACACAGACACCACCTCTTCTTTATAATAGTATAGATTATTAACAGTCATACTCGTCAGGTGAGTTGGTACATGTAAGGGTGTCCTGACTTAAGTTAAAAATGTTCTATCCGTAAAATAATAACTTAATGTCACTTTTGTTAAAGATTTTATGGCGTAAAGCTAATGATCATTTTATAACAATGAATGAAGAAATACAGCACAATTGAGATCATCCTGTTACATTTTGCAGTAATTTTCTGTTGTGGAACAATGTAAAAAAGTTACAATACCGCTGTTCCCTCAACTCAATTCAATTTGGTAACTCTGCTACCAAGTTGTTCCTCAACTAACCACATATAGGCTACACAAAAGAATGTAAGTAATGTTGTCAAAGGTAAAAACTACTACGGACATTTTACCAGTTCCAAGCTATTGTATATTAATATTAAAACCTAAACAATGAAATACACAATATATAATATGGTTATCAATTAAGTAAAAAAATGTTTTTGCCAAAATACATTAAAAACTGAACCATAACAATGTGGCTTGATTAGGATCGTGATCTGTACCTGTGTCGAAGTATGTACTGTCTTTTTTGATGATGAGTAAATTTGTTGTAAAGTAGTTATAGTATCTCCATTTACCTAACAATGGATTAAATTGAGTACAATAAAATTCTCCATGTTAATCGTTAAGAGTGTTTTGTAACCCTCTACTATTGGAACATTGTATGTGGGTCAACCAAATGCAAATATAATTTTAAATAGTCTGAAACTCTTCAAATAAAGAAACATTTTTTATACAAAAACGCCAACATACGCTCGTATTCTACTTTTTTGTTAATTTGATTTTAAATTTGGACTACTCAAAAACACCTTATTCATTAAAATATACATAACATTATATCTAACTTCTAAATTAATAACAAATTTACTATAAAGAATTTTAAGTTGAAAATACCAAATAGAAAATACCAATGTAAAAATATAATAAGCATAACTACTACATCTCGTATATTTGGCTAACTCATTTAATTAATTTAGTTGCAAGAGCAAATAAATTACATTCCTACACTTAGTTGAATAGCAATAGCTTTCATCATATAGGGCTATAGAATATCAACTAGGCCCTAGTTAATGTATGAGTAAAAATAAAAATAAAGGTAAGCCTCAACTGAACTGAAACATGTACTAACCTAAAAAAACAGTTTGAATTGTATAAAAAAATGCACCAATTAAAATACAGTTTTAACTTTTCAAATATACAGGACTTAATGAAAGTCTTAATTCAATTAAGTGACTCACAAACTATGATTAGCATTAATATTTTAAAATGTTTTAAAAGGTATACCAAAAAAAGTCATGGAAAATGCAGTGCCTTGGATATTAATATTTGAAGCTATTTTACTGTTGCTGTAACACAGCACAGGTATGTAAAAGCATTGTTTTCAAATCGACCAGGCAACAAAAAGGTTTTGTTACCGTACATATTAAGTTCAAGTGTACTGATGATTTAAAATTCCTATGAAGATCATGATTTTTTTACTTTGTGAGTGTAACTATATTATTTAAATATCAATTATATTTTAATAAGAGAATTATAGTATAATATAAACAATTCTACTAAGAAGAGCAAGGGATTTAATCTGGACCAACCAAGACTAAACTGTTTCAAAGCCAGATTTAATTATACAACTTGAGCCCTCGAAACCCTCCAATCCTGGGCCACCCTTGAAAATCTTTGGAGATTAGTTAATATTGGACCAGGTTCGATTCAGGGAATGATCGTTTCATTACCTCTTTGATATCAGTTTTAGATTAGTATATGTTTAGTCGTAATTCTGTATTCATGTTGTCATGTTTCTTAGATATCCAGTACTGTACCATACACAAAAAGCTAGATCTTACTCATAAAATTGAATTACTACATATTTAGTAGTTATTTGAAAACTTGGTTACAAACTTACAGGATTTGAAAAACATTTTTGTTAAAAAAAAAAAAAACAGACAAATTGTCTTATAATGTAAATTGCTAATAAATTGTATTGAAAAATGTTTGAAAGGGGGGGTTGAAGTGGAGTGTATCTGGTTGTAAATTCCCTTCTTGTTTCACACAAATTTTACCTTGAATAACTAATTCTTGTTGTAGTTGAAATGCTTAGCTCCAACACAGATTGATTTAACAACGATCTAATTGTCTCGTAACAAAACACTCTTTGAGACAACCTTCTAGAAGCCATCCCAGTGAAAGCTAACTTGGCGGTTACTCTATTAACTCTATGGATTCTGATATAATCTCCCCTTTGTTCCCAAGATGTTTCCTTCCCTGTGGAGACGTGGAGGCAGGAGGTTCAGTTCTTTGTTCTTCTTCTTTGTTTAACAAGAGTGTCTCAGTCAGATCTCTTTGTCCTAAGATCAATACCCTCGATACAGGCTCAAATTAGCATCTCTCATCATCTTCTTCAACCTCATTCTCTTAACTTTTCCTCTCCATTCCTGCACTTGAGATTTTTTATTTTAGTTATAAGTTGAGCTCTCATTTTGCAAACAAATTGTACACAGATTGTATAAGTAATACAACTCTTTGGCAATAATGTGTTTCAAAGTCATTGAGGAAAACACCTACAATGAAAAATCATATTCACCAGTTTTAGTAAAGATTTGAGTGAATGTTTTGATCTAGTCAGAAGAATCAAAATAATATAACTACTAATAAATAAGTAAAAAAAATAGTGGAAGTTACATGTAAAATAGGATTATAGTTTTACTTGTTTTTTTTTTAGTAGCCCAACATAATTGTAATATGTGTCAAAAAACAAAATTTGATCGTGATTTTCTATATGAACTAGTCTTTTGAGACAGGAAACATACTAGCTTATGATCAAATCCTCACCAAAACGTCATTATCTTTAGTGAAATTGTCTTTTACTATCTAACAACTAATGTAATTCATTTGTGTTTTCTTTTTTTAATTTCAAAAAGTTTTTTAATTAATAATTACCAATTAATGTGATTTTTCAGCCCGAGAACCTCCTGCTGGCCAGCAAGGCGAAGGGGGCCGCGGTCAAACTGGCTGACTTTGGACTGGCCATTGAGGTCCAGGGCGAACAACAGGCGTGGTTCGGTAAGTACAACCTGAAGTAGCTTGGCAAATTACAATACAATAAACTAATTTATATAATTTTTTAACTTATCATGCTAGAATAGCTTGTTAAACTTTTTAAATTATTTGGGTCTTGTTTATATCTTGAGATTGATAAAAAGAATCAAATCTTGCAACAGAACCTTAAATCCCGTTTCATCCCGCATCTTGTTTTAATCCCACCTTTGGTATAAAAATCCTGTCTCCAGGATAAAATCCTGCGTAAGGAAATCCTGGTGCTACGGACTACTAAACTTAGCCTTTTATAACGTTTTACAAATACTAAACAGCACAATATTTTTCTAGGTTTTGCGGGAACGCCTGGGTACCTATCACCCGAAGTCCTAAAAAAAGAGCCTTATGGAAAACCTGTTGACATCTGGGCATGTGGTGAGTAAAATTTAATTTGGCATTCAATGAAAGGTAAACTTATGGAAAAATACAATTTTGTACTTTGAAGCAGTTGATTTATTACATTCTGAAATTACAGATGGAAACTTAGTTACATACCTACCTTTCTTGGCATATAAAATCAAAGATATACTTTACTTTTAATGTATTCTTCTTCAATACATTTACATACTCTTAGAGCTTGTGAAAACACCATGTTGGATCTTATTCACAATAAATTCCCTTGTAGTAGCCTACTAAACCTTGTAGACAACAATGCATATCAACAGATCGGCAATGAAGTAAAGAAAACAGGACTACCAACAGATGAGCTTGTTTTGTCCGGAAACAGTCTCTCTCGGTACTTGTAATTTGGGTTGCGTAAAAAAAACAGCCTGTATTTTACTTTTCTAGGGCTATAACTAATAACTCTTGGGACCAGTTGTAATAACTCTTGAAAACAAAAGACTTTATCCTATAAATATAATAGTTTTTCAATTAAAACCGGACATACATTATCCATAACTTTGAGCTCAATTACAACAATAAAATCAGGATCTAATCCGCTGTTTGTTATTTCATAAATATTTGATAAGGTATGTTTTGTATACTGATGTAATTGTTGTAGTGTAATTTTACCAAATGTGTATACAGTATTTTGTTCTATTTTTGACATAATATACCAGACAATCTTCATTTCACAGGAAATTATTTAAAGAAGGAATAACTTAAATCGCTTAGTCTTCTTATATTTTGCCTGGTCTGCAGACCAGAAAATATCATCCTATCCCATGATTCTATTTTTCATCAATTCTCGGTTTTAGTTATTTTGTTAAAAACTGGTAAAACTGACCACCAACTTTTAAAGCCGACCTATCTCTAATTGTTAGAGTAGATCTCTACAAGTTAAGCAAATTTGTAATAGTGTATGTAAATTCTGTATTCTAGGTGTAATCCTTTATATTCTGCTGGTCGGCTACCCTCCTTTCTGGGATGAGGACCAGCACAGGCTTTATGCTCAAATTAAAGCTGGAGCTTATGACGTAAGTCTTTTTATGTTATACTGAACTGATCTGTTTTTCCATGTAATTGCAGTCTTGAAATAAAACTATAATTGTAAAACATTTGTTACGTAACATAAAAAATACTCTTTTACGCAACATTTGTATTAAATACATTTGTTTTTCTGTTACCAAAAAGTTGCCCACTTTGTCTGTATATCTTGTCATAACATTGTGTATTAGATAAAAAAATTTAAATAAAGGAGAGGCCAAGTTATGTTAGGGTTTAACAGTTTATGAATGCTTTAAACTATAACTAAACTTGAATAATTGTTGAATTCTAGTATAAAGATGTAGGCTAATCATTGTATGCAGAATAGCCGTTGAGCAGTGACAGCTATTGCATCCCAGGATTGTTCATCTCCCCTTGTATTATAATGATATATCATTTACATAAACAATTGTTGATGTTCTCCTTCAAGTGAACCTGAACCTCAGATTGTGAAGATGTGTTCCTTAAACATTTATTGACAATACGCTTTAGGTCCTTATGATGTTATAATCCTCATAGGTGTTGTCTACGTCACCAATATGTCGTTCACTACCAGAGTTTCCCAGAGAACAAGGTCATAAATTGACATGGTGGTGGAACAAGGAATGATATACCGTTACTACATATGATCTTGAAACCATGTTACCCAGTTTCCATTAGAGACAGTTTACTCTTCTAGTGACAGATTCAACTTAGTTTACGGTCGACCCAAAAGCCGAGCAGTTTTACAGCGGTCTCACAATCCGTGCAGGGTACGTTTCAGGGACTGTGTTTTTTCTTTGTTAACGTTCAACTTATTAGAGACGAAACAAGTCTTTGTCTGCTTAAGCAGACTGCCTGCTTCCACAAGATTTGTCTCATATTTGCCTCACCTGGCTAGCAGGTTATGTCATTTAACTAAAGATTAATTAAGCCACAAGCTGTGTGGCACACCTTTTGGGATCCCCCGTGGATTGGAACAGGCCCCATCTATTACCAGTAAACTAGCACAGTTCCTTCAAACCCATATTTCTAACACTTTCTCAGAAAAATGCTATGTGAGACCACATTGAGGTGTTCAAATCACAAAGCTTTCGAATATGATAGTCTTTATTCTCAGGTATTTGAAACTACTTCAGATGTATATGAGCTGAGCCTTCACTTCTAAACCCATGTTGAATCCTCTGAGAGCAGATTGTTTTCTTTGAAATAGGAATCAAGTTGTCTCTTCCTTACCATTCCTAAAACTTCAAAATTGCATTAAAAACAGGGAAGTATGGTATTATCCTGGCTTTTTTTGACAATCTGGAAAAGCATATTTTTTCTGTACAGGTTAATTATTCTAATAATTGTACCTTCAATGGTATTCAAGAGAATACAAGAAATACTGTTAACATCAAGGCTAATTAAGTCCTGAAAACTAAACGATGTTGACCACCTGGTTCACCATCACCTCGTTCCAAGTTGTTAGTGTGGGATAAGGCTAGTGGTCAGTCAGTGTGCCTACTTTATCCTTATGCTGAAACAAAGGCAAATTAGCAATGATATCACCAGCAATCCTTACAAAGTTGTTTTGTCATCTGGGGATGTTATTTTTGTTCCTGTGCATATTGACGATTCCAACTTGTTTTGCAGAGGAAGTTAAAATTTTGTGTACATTATGGGCTACCTCTGTTTTCTTGGTTTTCCAGTTTTTCTTATTTTTTTTTATCATGGGGAGAAGTATTTATTGTTTAGGTGTGTGTCAAGAGCTTAAAAGATCATGCAATAGGATCAAGTAAAAAAAATATATTGGTAAGTTCTAGGGTGTACCATAATTTGTCTCTCTTGTTTTGGATATTCAGAACTTAAAAGTTTTCTTGGATTCGAAGAGCTTGATTGGAAATATTGTGTTGAAACAGTTTTTAAAGCAAAAAAAATATTAGGAGAAGCAAGATTGGGGTCATCAAGATATGTCAGTAAATTACAATTTATGTTTAGCGGTATGCTATTTGTATTTACTGATGGGTCTGTATGATAGTTGTTTTGTCTGGTTGTAGTACCCGTCACCAGAGTGGGACACTGTCACCCCAGAAGCCAAGAACCTCATCAACCAGATGCTGACTGTGATCCCCTCCAAGCGTATTACTGCCTCTGAGGCCCTCAAGCACCCATGGATCTGCGTAAGTTACATGCCACCAGCTTTTGTATAACAAGCCATTATTTACTTGAAGGTATAAATAAATACTAAATCTGTTTAAGTATTCCTGGTGGGAAAACCCATGTGGAAAAAAATTTTCTGGGCCAGTAAAAAAATTTTCTGGCCCAGGTTCTGGGCACTTCCAAAATTGGCAAGAACTGGCCAGTACTGGCCAGAACCTGGGAAGTACTGGGCCAGAACCTGGGAAGTACTGGGCCAGAACCTGGGCAGTACTGGCCAGAACCTGGGCATTACTGGGCCAGAACCTGGGCAGTACTGGCCAGAACCTGGGCATTACTGGGCCAGAACCTGGGCAGTACTGGGCCAGAACCTGGGTAGTACTGGGCCAGAACCTGGGAAGGACTGGACCAGAACCTGGGCATTACTGGACCAGAACCTGGGCAGTACTGGGCCAGAACCTGGCCAATACTGGACCAGTATCTGGATCATACAGTAGTGAGAATTGAACCAATATGGAAGATGAATTAATAAGACACCTTTAGCAATAAACAATTTGTATTTGAAAATTACATATGCTAAAATACAAATTATGTTAACAAAAATCAAGGTTAGGTAATAAATTATTTTTTTGCAAAATTACAATAAAAGTTGTATGAAAAAGTAAAATCACCAAAAAGAATACTATTGATAATACCCTACAATACTAAATTTAATTTTATATTGAAAATGTAAAAATTAAACAATCAAAATATCCAATGAATCTAATTTGTCGGGGTTATAATTATTAATCAAATTAATAATGTCAGATTTATAGTATTAACACAATGGTCTTTAGAATATAAATGTAGTACAGTAGTTGCCATAAAGTTTTTTTACCTGAAACAGACAAGTTACAACTATAAAAAATGGTGAGCTGATGTAAGTATATTTGTATCTCCAGAGCTCAGCTTGGCCTTTATGTTGGGTTGTCTTTAAGTTTGGGCTAATTCGCTTTCAATGTACATGTGCAGACTTGAACAACTCCATTATTTTTAATGTATAGCCGTATAAGCTGCGCAGTTCCTAATGCGGGCTAGGCTATATTTATATTGAATAGAAATGAGATTGTACATATCTCAATAATCGAATTAAAACTTGATTTTGTAAAATAACCTGGCAATAGGCCTACACAATTTAGAATCAATATAGGACCTAATAGGTAATCTAGTTGTATCCCAATTCAGGTTAACTTAAGCGGCCATCTTAAAATTTTACTGTAATAGGCTACGTAACTTATATAAGTATAATGAAAAATCATTTCAAAGGCCATAAATAAAGTTAAATAGGTAGGCCTACTTAAATACTCAGTTATAGGGACTTAAAATAAAAAGACTCAAAAAAAAATGTTATAGCCTATCTTTCTTGTTACCGTACTTTTTTCATGTTGGCACTTCCAAGGGTGCAGTTCCGTAGAGAACCTACTATATTCTGTAGTTATATTGTATCGGATGAGTTTGCTTTCATGTAAATATCCATTGTAACAATTGTATCAATATTGTTGTTTCAAGAAGACTTTTTCCACACATTCTGCGGCGGTTAGGTTGTTTTAGTTTAGTTTATGATAGTAGCAATCAAAGTAAAATTGTTGGTAGGTATTAGAGATTTTTGATATTACTTTGGTTTGTTTAACAGATTACAATCACAAAGACATCAATTTGTAGGCCTATTCATATAGTTTTTTAATAAGTTTCATAAACTAAACTAGGTAGGTAACCTAACCTAAACGCCATAACTTACTGTAAACGAAAATCAATATAGAAATTCAATATTTATATCGATTGAAACTTGTTAATCGATAGTTAGGCCTAAGTTATATCGAAGTAGACTATTTTAATATTTAATCCGTTAATGTAACCCATCATGGGTTCTCTGCCTTAGGCCTACCTTAGCACTTAAGCTAAGACCTATTTATCATATTATTTACATAATCAGGGCTAACTTAGTAGGCTTCTTATTATAAAATACAACAGCAAACATAACCAAACATCAAGTTAAGTTAAGTTAGTCCGGCCTAAGGTAACTTAACGAAACAATCTGTGAATAAAAATAGCCGCCCATTCAAATGAAAAACAATGTTTTTGTGTAGGCTCTAACTTATTCATTAGGTAGTTTTGCATTTTGATGTTAAAGCCTAAGTTACTTTTGATCTAGGCATAAGTTAAGTAGGCGGGTACAGTTTCTTAACTGGGCTATGCTAATATTGATTGAAACTATCGATTCGATTAGTAAGCCTTCATGCGATTTTTTCACCATCAGCAAGTTTGGTTGGTTAGGTTAGGTCATGATAGTTTAATTATAAAATAGGCCTAGATATATTTCAAAATCGATTATTAATCAATATTTTCCATTTGATAGTTTCAATCGGAAACTGTACCCAAATGTAGCCCCAAACGGAACCTACGCTGAACAAAAGTTAGGCTACCGGTACTAAAAATTGACTTAATTGCAATCGAATCTCATCATTAATTTACAAATCCAATCAAGGTTTGCTTTACTTGTAGGCCTAGTCATAGGCCTAGGCTATCAAGGCCTAAACTTACCGTACCGTACACAATTTGTGAGATCAAATAATGAAGTAACATACTGACTAAATACTTCACAACTCCAAATTTAACACTTCAATGAGTAGAAAATCGTTAAAATTGGAACTAGGCCTAGGCTAGTTTATTTTGTTGCACTGAATAAGGTAGGCCTATGTTAAAGTTTACCTAGGCCTATACTAGGTACTGGACACATAAAAACTAAACCTAACAGCCACCTCAACATTAAGGCATATTATGAGTTTAATATGACAACTTAATAATATGACACTTATGCAAACCTGTGGTGCATTACTTACAACTTTTTGCTAAAATGAGGCCTGTGAACTCAGTTGTCTATAAACCTGATGGTTTGCCAAGTTCGACCTGATTCTTTGTCGATAATCCATTCTGATTCCACACGAATAGATATTTTTCACTGCAAATTAGGTAGAACGTTGTTCTACGATTAATATTAAGATATAACTAAGACAAGAACACCTTAGTTAGAAATTAACTGTTAATAAAGATGTCGAGACCAAAACTGAACTGACCAACTGACAAGGTTGAGATTTGAGGTTAGTTAGTAACAACTCCGCTCCGCTCCGGCGTGCGTCACGTTGGATTGGATCGGATTTGATTTTGGAATGGAATGGAACTCGTACAAAAAAAAATAGTTATCTTCGTCTTTGCTCTTCTCACTTCTGTCTCTGTCTTGTCCTCGTCTTAATTATTGTCCTCTTGTGTTAGATTTTTGTTGGCGATGCGTTGAGCTTAAAAATACGTTAAATTGTGTATTCGTATTCATTGGTCAAAGGTCAAAGCCATTGCCAAACCCAAACCTTCAATTGGACTAACTGGACTGGATCCAAATCCAGAGAGGTTTAAAACAATGGTGGGGGGGGGGGGGAGCGAGTTCAAGTTGAGTCGATATTATTGATGGTAACATTGGTAACAGTTTTTACCCTTGAAAATTATCTAAACATGTAGGCCTATAAATTTTGTCTTGCTTTAAACTTAATTTTTCAATAAATATAGGTTTAACTAATTGACTAGTATTTTACTTCAAATATCTGTATTTTATTACCTTAACCTCGGTTCCTTCATTTACATACTGTACTCTGTCAAGATTGATTATTGGTCTAGAATCTACAAGTACTAGCCAGTTACTGGTAAGTTCTGACCAGTACTGGCAAGTTCTGGCCAGTACTGGTGAGTTCTGGCCAGTACTGGCCGGTTCTGGTCCAGGTTCTAACCAGTACTGGCCAGGACCTGGACATTACTGGCCAGAACCTGGGAAGTACTGGCCAGAACCTGGGCAGTACTGGCCAGAACCTGGGCAGTACTGGCCAGAACCTGGGAAGTACTGGGCCAGAACCTGGGCAGTACTGGCCAGAACCTGGGCAGTACTGGACAGAACCTGGGTATTACTGGCCAGAACCTGGGCCAGAATTAGATTTCTACATGGGAATTTTTGAATTAATAATATTTCTGCTTAGCAAGGTTGTATTTCTGACTTTTGTCTGGACATTTGAAATCAAACTTGTTTTGTTTAATGCAGCAACGTGAGAGAGTGGCGTCAGTGGTTCACAGGCAAGAGACTGTCGACTGCCTCAAGAAATTCAATGCGAGGCGCAAACTAAAGGTGGGTACAATTAGTACTGTAGAGATTTGATATCGAGTAATATGTATAGGTTCTGAGGGTTGTGATAATTTGTAACGTTGAATACAGTCTTATGCTTGTTCTGTTATAAATATCTAAAACTTTTATTGAATTATGCAGTTTCAAATTCGTTCATGGATTCTAATCACTTGTTTTTATTTTCCTTCTAATCCATGTCACTTCAATTTTTAATTCACACGATTGAAATCAATAATAATTACTAGCTAAATTTTCACTCCTGGTTGTCAATGATCTCTTAAAAAATGGTGTGATAGAACCAAGCTATTTATTTTTATCCATACATACATATCCTCTCCCGCTCCGGGTATCTCCGGGTCTGGGTGTTTACTAGGCCTCTCCATCTTCTTCTGTCCCTCCATAAATCCTCTTCCTCCACGCACTGCCATGTAGTCCACATATTTTTATTGTGTTAAATATTATTTTCAATTAAAAACTTCAGGTTTACTTTGTGGGAGACTCCTTAGTAGTATTTAACCTCACACTGCACTGCAAGTGATATTATTCATCAAAATTGTTGTGCTTAGCTCATTAAGAGTCATTAAGAGAGCACGATGTTGCATGAAATAAAGGTTTTTGAATTGAATTGAAGTCTAGAATTGACCACAAGTTAATAACACGTATATGCTAAAAATGTTAATTGTCATGATTTGTTTGTAAATATGAATGGTATACTTCTATTAAACTATTTAGGTTTGGATAACCTGTTACGAGATTTGATATTGGTAATAGTGAGAACATTTCTGTTTTCAGGGCGCCATTCTGACGACGATGTTAGCCACTCGGAACTTCTCCAGTAAGTATGAACCGCAAGGTAAGTATCTCATGGGCCCCAGACGTTAAGACAAGCATAAGCAACAGCATACGTGGGCGACGTGTGACTGTGACTGAGCCGCTACTGTGGTGTGTCGTGGGTCGACGTGCATGTTGCCACCAATGAGCGGTCACTCGCGTCACACGCCGCGGCCGTGTGTGTGTGTGTGTATATACGGTGGTAGATTGGCTGTACAGACGGATCTGTATATAACCGCGGGAACTTCGCTTTAGGTTGGCTGTTAGCACTTGTAGTCGTTAACTCTTCACTGGCCTGGTGTTGTTTGGTTGGAGATAGGTACTTACATGTTCAAACGTGAAATGAAACAACACCTATACCATTTGTTAGGGCATTCCAGGTTTGGTTCTGTAATTTTGTTGTTGTTGAGTAATACATTTACCCAAAATGTCATATAAATTGTTATTTTTTTAGACATTTGTCTTTTTTAACAATTATTTTTTATAAGCCAGAAAATAATCCATCTTTGCTAAAGGAGGATATGCTCATTCATGACCAAACATTAAACATATATTTCAGCTAACACACTCAGGCAGCTGAAATAAACTCTAAGTTTTATTGTGTATGGGAAATCAATCAGAACCAAACCACCATTAGACATCCATCACAAAACTCAAATTACATTATCTCAAAACACTTTTTTTTCAGATCACTCAAAGGATATTGCATTATATAAATAAATGGTAATGTTTGATTGTCCTTTTGGCTAGGATCGGTTTTTTTACTGTAAATAAATCATTTTAATCCAATAAACAGTAAAAAACCATCTATTAGTAGTTGTAGAAAACAATGTAGTTTCAAAATTTCTTGAAAGAGAAAAACATTATCTGCAAGTCAACTCTGTCTAAGCATGCTATAAACTGTATATAGTCCAGAATACAAAAGCAGCTTAATGCTAACACAGATAATAAGAAATTTTTCAGTTTTTCTCCTGTTCATTAACGCAATTCAAAAAAATATTCAATTTTATGTTTTGCAAATAAAATTTAATATATTTAGTCCTGCTATAATTTGAGCATTTTAATACAGAAACTGACTGTTTAATACAGCTGGGTGGATTGCTTGCTATTAAATCCAAATATGATTATTGGATAGTTTTTGGATCACCAAAAAACTATCCACTGACTATATTGGCGGCTAATATTGTCCACTAGTTCTGTTTCTTCTATTATCTCATGTAAAAACATTAATTCAAAATAAAACTATTTGAAATTTACCAAAATGTCAGAGAGGCTTGCAGATTGCATCCTAGTCCTGCATTAAGATGTTGTCGCAATGTACGTAACCGTACTATGAACGTTGGTGTTGCATTGCGTAGGACTATCTTTGTACTAACTGGTGGTTAGAGGCTAACTCTTAACCTTTATAACTATCAAATTAGTGCTTTACTAATACACTTAACGACTAGCATTGTTACCTGATGCTACATTCATTTTCTATGTTTTCCTATACTGTGTCCTTAAATCCTTTGGAGCGCAAGGTAAGTTATTATTGCAAGGATTTAATATTTTTATATCAATCTAAATCAGTTAATGAATTACAGTTTTAATACTTACTAATTTTTTAGTTTTTATGTTAAACATAAATCTTGGGTAAATAAGCAAGTGGAATAATTGGCCATGTTCTTGTAATAAATATGTCTAGAACTGAAAATTCTATCCTGAACACATCTCAATTAATAAATATTTTCACAAAAATCTGTCCAACCAATAACAGAATAACATTATCTAAATCATATAGTTAATTTGCGGTTTTTACTGAAAGTGGTTCTAAAAAACCTATTGATCAGCTTTAATTTGATGCTTTGAATGCATACTCAACATTATTTTATAAAGTTTTTAAGAACAAAAAATAATGTTTGTATGTAACACTAACTACTTGTAACACCATATTTCATTTTTGCTTAATTACATTAATACAATGCGAAGTTTAGCAACAATTTAAAAAGTTTCTGCCAACATAACACCACTATTTGCAAAGAGATATTATCATTCATTTTTTTATATAATTATTTGTATATGACAACATTGGTTTTTGTGACCAATGTCATGCCTATAACAGCAATAAAACTAAGTCACCCTGTCCTTGCATAATGGTCCCTTTCATATCCTGGAACAAGTATCGAGATTTACTGTTTAATCATGTACTAGGTTAATTTTGTTAGACAAACAACATGAGTGGAGACAGTGAATTAAATCAAATCAATATCAAACATATAATTAATTGACATAGATTTATTAAAATTGAACCTCAAACCTCACATGCCGTTGCAGACATGTGCGCACACTTCAAATTCATTAAAATCTGCTGTCCACACGCCCACATTTTACTGTGCGAACAAAAGTGAGCGTTAAGACCAGACTTAATGAGTTGATTAAATTTTGAAATTATTAATTACATTTCCACTTTTTTTTGTGAGCCAAATGTGACCATAGGATTTACTTGCAGGGTCGGTCTAGCCATTATTATTCTGAAATATTATTATTCTGAGATAGGCTGTTTTTGTACATGACACCATGCAACACTCCGTATCATTGTTGTAGTGTACATCAGATCACTCTACGGTGGGCTTATCTCTAGAATGTAGAACGTCTGTCGTACCAATAAATCAGTGACAATTGCAGTATACTTTGTGTACCTGCGTGCAATCTACTTCATTACAAGCAAACAGTTTTATAGTGGAAATGTAATAAAATGTTCTCGTTCTCACTTAAAGCAAACCAAAAAATCCTAATTTAAATAGGTATTGGAAAAAAACCGATTCTTTTTAAGTTTTCCAAACTCTGTCAGTACAACATTTATTTTCTGTGTGTCCAAAAATTAGTCCAATTTCAAATTTTACAGATTCAAATGATATGACTGAGGAGACATTGGTTTTCACTAATAAGAAAAATGTATTTTAGTCACAATTTAATGAAATCTAAAATAATACAGTATATATATTAATAATGCTTTAGGAAAAAAAATAGATTCCAATAATTTTTATTAGTTACTTTCTTTGAACCGATTATGTCTTCTTTTATTTATTTTGTATCAGTCCATTAAGTTTTGTATAAAGTAAAATTAACAATTATTTTCACTATATTTCTGAATTTATTTATCAGTTCTTACTTATAAGAAATAGTTGTCGTTGCAATAGTTCATACATTCAGTAGGTCATCACTTTGAAAGTACTTTTCTATATTATTTCATTACATTATATGGAATATATTAATGTATCTTTGATTTTAAAATTATGGTATTACATACAATAATATCATATGATTATTCATTTATTCTCATGACATATACATTTACATTTTTTTTTTTATTCTCATTTTGGTTAATATTTTCATTTAGTTTCACATACAACACTCTTTCAGCTAGAAATTATTAAAATACCTTTATCTCCATAGGCTACATTGTTTTAGTGAATTAACACTAACAGCCAAATTGATAAATGTTTGAAGTTTACTTCTAAAACAGATATGTGTAAAGGAAATAACTGGGGCTCATGAGGTACTTAAGTAGTATAAATATATACATATTTTATTCCTATAAAGTTATTAGTTAAACTAAGAAAAACAGTGTATGCACATAATACGTAGTTGTATTTGCAGGATACTTTTCACACTCACTCAATTCTCCAGGTTTCTAAAATTTGGTTTTATGTTTTTATTTGAAATAATTTACAAAAGCTGTACAAATATAATAAGTTTTCTTAAAGTTTTAACATGGCTTCAAACCCAAACGTTCTTTGGTAAAAATCTGAAAATATCTTTGCTAAACAAATTTTTTTTTCTCAGCTTATTGATTTTAATTATTCATAATTACTGTTCTTTTATTGTTACTAATGACAGTGATTACTAATCTTTAATTATTTTATTTTTACAAAACTATTTTGACAGATATTGTTTTATCTTATCATAACAACATACGCCTATTTAAACCTAATTTACTTATAGGTTTAATAAGTAGACAAATTTTAAGTTTTAAGAATAAAATGACTCAGGGTTAGTAAATGATCCATTGACAAATTTGTATGATAGATAATAGATATAGACTTCTATTAATATTACCACAGCTTTAAGGCCTTTGCTTAGCTGCATGGTTAGTGACTACAACAACCACTTACCTATATGAGTTGTATGAATTTTCAATAGCCAGTTAGTTACCTGCAGCTTAAAAAATACCTTCGGTGCATTTAATCATTAGTTTTAAAACTGCGTAGTTTAAATTTAGTTTAACCTAAGATCCCGTTCCAAAACGTAGTTAGTGTCACTAGTGTCAGTATTAATATTTATAGTAGTCTGTATATATTTTTTTAAACTAAACAGTTTAAACAAGATTTTTAATGAAATACAATATAATGAAAACATTAAGGACGACATGGCCTTATGTAATGCACTGTAATTTAATACAATAAATTTGGACTTATCAAACTTCAATCAGATACAATTTAAAATATTTTTTGGTATTTCTTAACTTCGACATTTCTTTTTGTAAAAAAAAACCATAAAGTAAATTATATATGAGTAGAGTAGGTGCATCGTCACCGTCTAGACGTCTAGCCCATGTTGTTATGCCCTAGGAGTGATGATAGCTGCTTGACTGTATATACGTTACATCGTTACAATACGTTGTGTGTGGCACTACCTTGTAAATAACTTTTAGATTTAGTTTTAGATCTGAGTGGCTAACTGTGATGGGATTTTGTTGTGCTTCAAGTTCACTTCTAAATTTTCTCCAGTTTCAAGAACAAATTATATAGGTTTATATAAGCAGGAGCAACAATTGGGTTTTCTATGCCTTAATGTCTTTAACAACAAAATATATTAAAAATAATTCTCTGTGTATTTGATCTGTAAGTTTGTTTAGGAATATAAACACAATGTTTGAAGTGTATCTTGAAACTATAAACTTACTCTTAGCCACTCACATGAAATTGTAGTTGTAGGCTTGCAGTAGCGCACAAGTAGCCATAGTCCCTGATGAAATGATGATTGATGATATGATGATAATGATGATATGATGATGACGTGTTGTTTATCTTTGTTTTCTCTCTCTTTCTCTATCTGTCTCTGGTTACCTCTCTCTCTCTACTGAACAGAAAGTGGTAAGAACCAAACAGACGTTACTAAAATCATTTTTACCTTAATTTTTGTTTTAAATTATCACATTATTTAAGTTTGAATGACTTGAAAATTACCTTCTCTGTCATGAAAAAATTTTATCTCTGGTTCGGTGTTACACTAATTCATTATTTTGTATATTTCGTTCATTGTTGCAGCTCTTGTACTTCAGTAAATAATGTGTATATTGTGTTATAAATATTTTCCCTAAATTGTATGATGATATACCTTATTGCTGAATACATGTACAGTATATCAAGTCATTTAATCTAACTCTGTATACAGAGCTTAAACAATGAACAGTTGTATATATATCAATAGAGCATGATGCATTTTGAGCTTGAGGCATGTTGCTGCAGTATATTAACAAAATTAAAGGTGTTATTATTATTTAGTGTTGTGTATTTGATGAAATTGTATATATTGTAATAAGTAACACATTTTTTTACTAGTACTCATTTATAACACTATATAAAGTGTGATTTTTACAGATACTGTATATATAATTGATTAATCGTTGAGTATTGATCACATCCAATATTGGAATGAGCATGTTCAAAATGTTCTGACATTTATTATTATTTGCATTTTCATGTAACAAAAGAATTTTTTTTTTATTTTATTGAACTATTTTCTACTTATATTTTTGAGCTTTGTTGTAGATTACTAAATTTTCAATAATCTAAACTCTTTCTTTTGTGAAATTTTGAAGATATGCCATATTGCCTGTTGATGAGTATTTTATAATTTACTCATATTCAAAACAGTATGCTTGGTGTTTACATTCGTTTGGTTTTAAAGTCTCCACCAAATTTCTCTCTGGATGTTATAATAATATATATTAAAAGCAATGTGTTTTAATTTTTAACATTTTTTTCTATTTTACATTTTACAATCTATGCTTGCGAATTTTCTTATAATTATTGTTTGCAGTTTTCAGCAAATATTTGCATAATTGTTTGTTTTTGATGTTTCATTATAACAAATTAACTCTTAAGGAAACATATTACATATATTGTTTGTACATGGTTTAGTAAGAGTTTAATACCATGTGAAAGGTAAGACTTGTTTTTTCAGCCGCTGAATATATAATGTCTAATGTTTATACATCAGCTATTTAAAGATTTAAAAAATAAAAGTGAATATTTTAAAGATTTAAATATTTTATTCATAAAACTGCATATTCTTGTATAACTTTTAGCGACTTAATGTTTGAATAATTAGAAGTTTAAGATATAAAAGTATGAGAAGTAACTACACAAATATCAACTGTTGACGTCGATAGCTGTGTGTGTTTATGTTTAACCCGTCTTGGTTGATTGTAGGTCGCAGTATTATCACCAAGAAGGGTGACGGGTCCCAAGTGAAGGAATCGACAGACAGCAGTACTACGCTGGAGGATGACGACATCAAAGGTAAGTCACGTATGTTGCCTAACGCAGCCTGGCTTACACATTAGTTACTGTTAGTCATTGTTAGATGCGATGATTAAGTTGAAGCATTGCGATTTCCTTTCATTTGGTGCTTCTTCAACCGAACTACAGTAGTTAACCCATTACCTCGGCCACACTGCTGTAGTTTTATATTTAAATGTACTCCTAGTTTAGTGACTAGCAATTTTTAAATTGGGTCTCCAGATATTTGATCTTTCGATGCTTCAGGACTGGTAGAAACTATTGCTGTTTAGCTGGTGTATATTATTAAAAAGTTTTATCTGGTCGCAATATCTTCAAATAGGGTAATGATCTCTAAGTGTCTACACTAATGAATTGTGTTCCTTCCTTGTATATAAAAGGTTAAAATAACTTCAAGAAACCAAACTTGTCCTAATTACCAAACATTTCAAAACTTGTTCGCCAGTTCAAATTTGCTGCATAACATTTATTATCTTTACAGCAGAACGCATTACAAATTTTGTAATTTTCTTATTTCCATGCTTTGAGTAGACTTTGTTTTAGTTAGTATCTTAATTAATAATGGAATTATATTATTGGCCATTTTAAATACCATAAAAGAACCGGATTTTAAATTCACTAGGTTTTACTAAAGCTGCAGACATACCCTGATTGTAAAGAACAAAAAAAGTGTGCCTTACTATTTGTAAAACAAGTTCAGCAACCGTGTCCAAGCTTGTCCTGAAATACACAAGCATTAAATAGTACAAGAGTTTTAATTACTACCGTCTTATGTTTTAGAAATGTGTATGATTATGTTTAGCTCATAAACCAAATAACCTACTCAAGTAGACAATGTACTTGCATTTTGAAAGAACTCCTAGTTTCTTATTTAGTTAAAAAGTATAATATTATTCATACAAGGTTTTAATAATCTCTTCTGGCTGTATTAAATCTTCAATATAATATGATTAGTTGCCAAACTGTTTCTATGTTTTAGGAGGTATGACTACATTTCCAATGAACTTCTACATTTCATATTTCACTCTTTCGCACCATTTGGCATGTTTCTAGTGTGTGTTTTGCATGTTACTAATCAATGCACAGTTGGTTTGAGCCTTTGTAGTATCAATTTTTTTTATTGACAGCAACAGCAGGATATTGTAAGATCAAATTGAGCCAGTAGTACAACCATTATTGATTTTAGATTTTTAATCAATGAACCAATTATAAAGAACATCACATCATATTTTAGCAAAAAACAAGACCCATGTAAGCCAAACATATAAACCTGTAAGCTATTACCAATCTTCGTGAGATTTGTTATATGGATAAGTAATAGTAATTTAAAAGTGTATTACTAAATACAGTCATAGATACTATGTACAAATTGCAAAGTAATACAATAAATTTCTTTTCGCACGGAAGAGAGGTCTGTAATAAACTTATTTCGTTTCAAACATACATAAAACCATTGACTATATATACCTTATACCTATATATACCTGTAGGTATATATAGTCAATGATAAAACTCTATTTTACCTAGCTTTTAGTTCTACAAAAATAGGTAGTCTTTTCGTTTTTACAACTAAATTATATTTTTATTGTTTATGATTTTTTTTATCAAAAAGCTTATGTATTTTTAAAATTTATCTATTTTAATGCGTTTCCAGATTCAAATTGTGGGTTCTGCTCTTTGTTTTCAAGGTCAAGAAAAACAAAAGCATAAAATCTAGAATATTACTCTGTTCTTACTAATTGGAAGAAGAATTCATTGTGTTTTACAACCCAAATTATGAATAGAATTTTATAAAATAGTTACTTAAAAAAAATACTTACATAGTCAATTATCAAACAAGCAATTATTCGTGAAAACAATTTTAATTCAGTTACTGTTCTTAATTATTTAAGAAAAGTATCTATGCTAAGTTGCAATTTTTTTATTCAAATGCACAGTAGATTTTGTATAAAGCTCGATTGTTTGTAACCTTTTTATGTAAACTATAATTTTTTATTTTGTGTAAGCTCGACTCATTGTGTATGTATTTTTAAAATACTGTGCATACTACTTATGCAATTTTTATTTATTTTTTTAACTTCATAGGCAAAAATAAGTAAACAAACAAAGAAAAGGTTTTTGTTAACCGAAAAAAAACCACAGTGCACCAAATCTGCAGAATTTTAAATTAACTGTTTGTTTATTGAGTTTTTATTCAATTAATTAAATTCCTAATAAAAAGAACCTAACACCTCCTACTGATCTACATCTAGCTTTACAACTTTTGACTTGGTACTCCAAATAGTTGTTTTGACAAAATATAACAAAATCCAGTAGTGAATTAAATAATTACCGATCCTTCATAAAGATATATGAGCAATAACTTTAAAAATTTCCTGTAAGATAACATTGGACACATCAATTTAGTAAACTCTGTTACTAATAGCATACATTTCAAATCAACATATTTTACAACACTTTTTGTTTTATGTTAAGTTTAAATGTAAAAACTGATTTTAACATTAAAAAACTGGAAAAAGAGTAGAAAACACTTTTTTTATACAAAACACCTTGTTTATTTAGTCATTGTTAATTATACTAGGCGTGAATCTAAATGTACATTAATTTTTATTTTAAACCTGTTTGAATAAAAACTCAATAAAATAGTTAGAAATTTGAACAGTCTGCAGGTATACTGCATGTATTTTACAGAAATATTTTCAAAGTTATATTTCATTACTAATTTCAACACATAACAATTTGGTGTTAAAAATTATGAAAATTACTTAATGAGTAACAACTACAAGAACTAGCTTCTTCATACTTTTTTGTTGGCTTGTTTCAGAATTGTTAATTAAACTGTAAACAAATTTTAGAATGTTCATTTTATATGTTAGTAGTTGTGTTTGAAATATATTTTATGGTTCTCATTTTCACAGTAGTTTTTTTCCCTTTGTTATTATTATTTTGTTTGTTTATTGTATGCATTGTATTGTTCATTATGTACAATGTTTAGCGTTACTGGATAGAGGCTTGTTAATGCCGCAACTGATAGCTGCATTGATACTGCTCTACTATTTCACTTTGTTGAAGTCATGCTTTTAGTGATTCTTGTAGTTCTTGTAAGGTATATTTTATTTTTAACTTGGTCATTTACAAAATAAATTATTGGACAGTTTAAAATCTTCCTGACCTATTAATCACTTTCATATTTTTGGTCCAATATGATCGGTAACTAAGGCGTTAAATCATGGAAAAAACAGCTGAAGGCCTTATTTACTTGTTTGTAAAAAACCGTGTCATAAATAAATTACTGCTTTTAAGGTCTATTTATATACACAATTTTTGAAGTTACTACTTTAAAATATCGTTAAAAGATTAAATTAAATTTTTCAACATACTTTAAATTTATCTTTTGCTGTTATTTTTTCCGCTTTTAGATGGCATATCATCTACTAAATAAAAACTGACCAAGTCCATTAATGCATGTTGCAAACTTTGTAATTAAAACACGTATGATAAATCTGTAGAAGTACGATGCTGCTTACAATAAATTGCTTTGTAGTTATCAAATGATATTGCTTGTTCAAAATATGATGTGCATGTTCTGAAGTATGTATTTTTCCTAGATAAATATTTACTGTATTGTTCAAAGCTGTTGTGTAAAATGTGTTTTTACATTTCCTTCTTTCAAGAAAATATTTTTAAAAATCTAAATTTAGAAATTGTGTTTGCATAACACATGCAAGATGTGAGTTTTGAATCAAGTTTATTAATAATTCAAATATATCTAAGGAAACAAATTTTCAATGCTTTTAACAATGATAATACAATTATAATAAAAATTAGTACCGATATGGAAATACATTTTTCATTTACTGATTTTGGTCTAAATTTATAATCAGTACTATTATTACCTATGAAAAAAATTAAAAAATATATATTTATAAGATTCCAAGTCAACTGTTGGTTTTAACCTATGAGTGCCATTGTTTGAATAAATACAGATAATTTAAGTTCAATAAACTTCTACAAATAAGTTTTATAAATTTAACTGTAATATCAATACCCAAACCAGTAAAAATAAGTAGCGACCCTTGAAACTGTTTCAATATTGTGATATTTTCTTATAAGAATGGAAATGATTTCTCTTCAGTATAATTGTATCAAGTGCTATTGAATTGTAGAATTCTATTGATCTGACCTGCCAAGCTGTTTATTATACATGTATTTATTGTGTACTCTGCTTTAATATAACCTCGATGTAAATAATTCTCTCTGCAATGTACTGTACCCATTTTATGACGGCCAAATAATTTATGCAAATTTGTGAATCGTTTGCATAGATTAGTCACTATTTTATTTATTTACCATAATAACACGAGTTTAAAGTACATACAAAATAACTAACCAACTCCATTGTTATCTAAACATCTCCAGTTTTACCTTGAATCTTTTGTTTGAAGATAAAACGTTGATCATGAATTTTATTTTATTAGCAAAACAGTTTTCTGCTTTATAACTATGTAGCTTTTTGTATAAAAACAAGTGTTTTGACCAGTTAAATTTGGTTGGGTCAAATAACGCATCAACCACACATTTTTGTAAGTCACAGGGAAAGAGCATTGTAGATTAACATAAATGTTTATCAGTCACTATAAATTGCTCCACTGGTCTCGGATGTTTTTACACTTTCTGAATTAACTAGGTTATTAGTACTTGGTAATTAGTTTTAATAGTTTTTTTACGAAGAACTACCTCTAAATATAAGTTTTTGACAATATCGAAACCCGCAAAAATTGGGTTTAAGTTTTGATTAAAAATGGGTATTCAGTAAAAATTGCGTCTGTCATATTGGGGTTGTTCATTCTAATAAAGGTGGCCCAAAAAGGGATCCTTGTGGTACTCCATGTAGGCTACTAACATTTTGTTTGTAAAATATCCATTAAAAAAATTTTATTCCTTAATCTTACGATTTCTTAACTCAGTATTTTTTTTTAATAATTTTTACTTTGCCGTTTCATTTTTCTCCTCTCTTTGCAATTACCGGGTATCTTGCAAGTTATTTTACGCCACACTACATTATTTTGACGAACTTCCCACGCAAGGATTTAGTCCAGAAAACAGCTGTTTGCCGCCAGCTTATTCAAATGGGGTTTCATTGCCCAGTTTCATTGGGTTGAAATGGGTTTCATTTTAATATCATATGTACTACTGTGCTGTAATGAGTTTTACCGGACACCAATCAGCTGATTATACTGTATTTAGGTGGCAATGAGTAGTTATAAACAAAACATAACCTCTCTTACAGGCTGTGACTAGTAATTTTTAGTCCTTTAGTTGGTGGAAATATATAAGGATTTGTACAGATTTAGTAGTATGGCGTAAACTATCGTAAACTATGGCGTAAAATTATTTTTATAACCGAAGGCTGAAATTAATTATGAGATGTTTTCCCAACCTGTACTTAAGAAAATGTGGTGTTTTTGTGTCCTCAGCTCCTTAGCTCTTCCTTTTCAAATCACGAGACCTTACAAAGTAGATTGCCAAACTTTTGAACACTGTATAACCTGGGTACAGTACGATTCCTGTTTGATATGTAACTGTCTCGTATGCTGTATGTCGCTTCTCATCCTTTGCCTTAGTTGTTGATCTGTCTCTCTGTCTCTTTCCCTCCCACTGACACGAACAAACGCTATTCTCTGTCTTTGTTTATCCCGCAGAGGATAAGGTTAAAGGAGGCGTTGACCGCAGTTCTACCGTCATTGCTAAAGAACCTGAAGGTAAATCTACTAGCCTTTATAAAATAACAAATTGAAAATCTGATTTGGTGGGAGCGAGCACATTATTTTGAATATTCATTTTGAATTTGAAAAATGTCTTGTTTCTGCAGTAGTCAGATTGTATTATAAGTTCGGATTTTTTTAAACTAGAAAAGTTTGTACATTTAAAAAATATTTTTTATCTAAATTTTTATTTGGTGTATTTACTGTTTTGTGGTTTATTTAACAAAAATTGTCTTTTTAATGTTTTAATTTCTTTTTCTTTTATTGGATGCTCGTGCTTCCATTTCAGATTGCACCCTCAGGTACTAACCTTTCAGCTCACAGTAATATTAAACAGTAACCACAAAAACTTTAATGTAATTTAAAATGTTCTTCCGATTTTATCAATTCTGAATAGATTCTGTCACCTTATTGCTTGTTGCACATTTTAAAACTTTTTGATATAACTTGATGATCTGGAGAAGGTTTCTCCCATTTGTGTCAATAAATTTACACCATTTTAATATCATATATTTACTAATCCAGTGACTGTGAAGCTAATGGATAAAAAAATATAAGGTATGGTTGTATCAAAACAATTTTATCCAAGAGCGAAATCACTGAAAAACCTACTTATGTATTTGAAAAGTATACTTTTTTATTATTTTCGGAATAAATTTTTAATAGAAAATATGTTTTTAGCCATAAAAACTAGAATATAATGTATATCACACAACTGAATCATTATTATTCAACCATCCTTTTTTTATAATATACGGAACATACCTTACGAGGGTAAATAAGCCCCATATAGCTTCCTAGCAAGGAAGGTCTAACTTACCTGAAGACAAGATTTAACCTCCATCTTACACAGACAAACTCTTACAGTATTGAATGTTCTGAGCATGATCCGTAAACTTTTACAAGCTAACATCTATTTTAAAGAATTTTGTAAAAATATAGGTTTTGTACCGTAGTTATTTATATTAGAATATGATTATTGTAGGCTAGTCTTACTTTAGTTTAAGGCTTTCCGGTACCGTACATGTGCATTTCCCGATCATCCATTTTTGTCATGGTTTTATCAATGGATTTTGATGATGCATCACCATATTATTTAAATGTTTATGATTGGCTGCTCAAAAACATGCTGAAAAACAACCAATCAGGATCACTCGCTTGTGCTGTTGGGAAAGTTGAAACGTTTATTATTCTTACTGGCTGTATTTGTCACAATTTAATAATAAAATTAAAACAATTTGTTTTACGCTTAGACCTTGCTTGTTTCAGTTTTATATTGCCAATGTATTGTTCAATTCATTGACTTTTGAGTTTCATAGTGTATTATAATTTTTGAAAACTCTGCAATAATACGATATTGACCCAATGTTGAATATTAACAACAAAGATATTCCTAATGTAGATTCCTCAGGTGAGAAGATTATTCTACAATTTTGATTATAAATATATTTATTTACATTGCACATGAGAGTTTTCGGATAAATTAACCACAGATGATTGTACTCTGATTAAAGATAAACCAAACAATCAAATGTTTACATCAAATTCCCGTAACGTTCTAGGCAATCCACATATCCGTGAATGTTGTTAGGTGTCCATTACTAAGGAAAACACAACGTTAACTGATCATGTAGTTAAACATATCATTAATCTACATACAAGAGATTTAGCAGTGTTAAATTCTTTTTAACAGAACTTTTTTCGATTAAATTTAAGATAATAAGATGGAATTTGAAATTATTTCTTGTTTACATTATGTTCCTAGATCTATTGTTAAGGATTTGTAAAAAACTGACAAAGTCCGAAGGCCAATCACTTTGACTTATCTGGGAAACATACCAATTCTCAATGAACCTAGGAATCATGCTTAACCATTAAAATATTTCTCTTATTTGCACGAATCTGTTTTATTACTCTATTTAAAATTCAAACTTATGCATTGAATCATGGTTTTATTGAAAACTGACACTCTAATTCAAATCTAGCACCAGCTCATTTGACCATTCCATAACTATCTTTTTCTAAAAAATCTTGAAAGAAACCTCTGCTTCTTCTCTGTTCTTGTGCATCATGCTTCACTTCCGCATGCATGTTTCATCATGTATCAGTCATGTGCTTATCGTGCATTTGTCATTGTAGCATTTTATGTTTCTTGTTATACTTGTTCACTGTTTACCTTACTTCATATCTGTTCATTCTGTTGTTGGTTGACACTAGATGTATCAGATGATGAAGCATTTAGCGATGCGTAGTTTTAACTCAACTAGGCAGAATTATATTTTATACAAGATGTTATTTATCATCAAAGTTATGATAGTATTATTAATTAAACCCATCTGAATTCAAAACCTGTTTTAAATTCGCTTCAATTTATTAAGCATTAAACAAACCGATTAAAATATCCTTTATTTTTATTTGTCAAAATTATATTGCAAAAGATCAAGTAGCTTCATAATTTAAATCCATGTGTGTAGCCCCTGAGCTGTTGGACATAATGTAAGACTAAATTACTTACGTAATTCCCATCACAGCTCAATAAAATATGTCTATTCAGGACATGTTTCGGTGTTAAAACACCATCGTCAGCTTCAGGTACATAGTGTAGAGTTGATCAGTTGTTAACATCGTCAGAAGAATAAATAAACACAGCACGGACACGAATAAATACATAAAACAGTTAAACATTTAAAAAACAGGCCTGTTCTAACAAAGATGACCGACCGCACAGGTAGCAAGGGAAAAGAACGGAAAAGAACTTTTTAATTCACTCATCAATAACTCCGTCCATCCTACAACAGCTGATCCTTGTCCAATATCTCTTTCTCTCTCACACAACTGATAAGCATAAGCTGGTCTAGTCTGTCCCTTGCTACCTGTGCGGTCGGTCATCTTTGTTAGAACAGGCCTGTTTTTTAAATGTTTAACTGTTTTATGTATTTATTCGTGTCCGTGCTGTGTTTATTTATTCTTCTGACGATGTTAACAACTGATCAACTCTACACTATGTACCTGAAGCTGACGATGGTGTTTTAACACCGAAACATGTCCTGAATAGACATATTTTATTGAGCTGTGACGGGAATTACGTAAGTAATTTAGTCTTACATTATAGCTTCATAAGGTTAAATGTGTCAAAAATGTAATTTTACCTATCGTATTGAAGTGGAAAACTGTATATAACAACTGAATTTTTTCAGGTCCCTATGTATAACATTCATATCACGATAGCCTATGCCGTTCTTATTCATTATCACTATGTCCATCACATTTTTAGACAATATCTGTTTTTTTTTTGTTTTTTTTTACTCTATCTCTATCTCTATGTTTAGTTTACAATCAAGGTGATTTAATTAAGAGATGTGTAGTTCCAACTTTGAGAAAGATGGTCTGATAGTTGTAATTGTTATTAACTCTAAAGGTTTGTTAAATAACCTTATTTAAAGAAATAAAAGCTACAGTAAATTACTCGCATGATAACTGAATACGAATACCAGACCATATTGATTATGAGGGATGACTAATTGATCAATTTTATCTCATCAAAATTGACCAATGCCACTTGACCTCATGAGATATTTTTTAATTTCAAACACTGTGCCAAATTTCAAGTTTTTAAATTTTAGTTGACTCAACAAATCTTCTGTGTTCAGTTGAAAGATTGCGTTGCTTGACAATTTCCGGTGCTACCATGGTTTTTGCAAGACATAAAGGTATACAGTATATAAATTATAATTATGAATTGGAAGTTAACACTATTTTGGTGGTACATTGATAAAAAATATGGTTAAATTGAATAAATTATGTGTTTCTCACTTAAACCGTTGTTTTTTGATTTGTTAAGTGTTAGGTTTATGTGTTTTATTCTTCTCTACATTTCAAAACTTTACTATCTCATGTATTCTATGCATATGAAATGTGATGTTTGAGTGTTTCAGTGTATATCCAATACAGAAAAATTATCAGTATTTTCTTATTTCAACAATCATTGTTGTTCAAAAATGTGCCTCTTTGGAAAGTCAATCTTTATGCTTTTATCTTTTTACATTTAAATATTCCTGAACTCTACATGATTTTGGAATGTTTGTGTCTAAGATTAAAAGTGTAATTAGTCAAAATGCTGTGCTACTCAATATAGATTTACATTTACTTTCAATTCTTTATAAGATAGTTTTTTCGCGAGATGGAAAAGAGTAGTTGGCTTTTCTCTTACAAGAAAAATATTTAAATTTCACAGCTTCATTATTATTACACCACAATCCTAGCAAGACTGTGCTAAATATAGGAACAGTTGTAAAGCTTCATCGTGACAGCTGCAATTGTGTCAGTCCGTTGTTGTTAGTCTGCTATATCACCTTTTATCATTTCTTCTTATTTTCATTCAACAGGTGTTAATACTGTATTGTTTGTCAAACTCAAAACGTTTTCATATGTTAGAATCAGTTGGTGTACCCTCCTCTTCTCAGAACTATGTTGAAAGTGAGTTTATCAAGCTTTAAGAGAATCTTTAAATAAATTCTAATTATATTTAGTTGGTTGACATTAGTACTAAAGACCGCAAATTTTATATGAGCGTTATTATATAACGTTAGTTTTGAATTTCAAATTGTTTACACTGCTAAAAATATAATAAATGTCTCACTCTTGCTCATGATATTGTTTTTTTCAAATAATTGTTTACTTTTCTGAGTAGTCCTTCAAAAGAATGTGCCACAAATTTTCAGTATGCCCAAAACCCAGGCATGACTCAAATTTTGTACGAAAATAATAAAAATTTAATGTCAGTTACCAGTTGGAAAAAAAACAATGGATGGTTTTATTTAAATTTGTGGCAGTAAATGCATACACTACCTAATAAGACCGTTTATCTGATTCTTATTTGAAGGTGGAAAAATGATTGAATTAAAGTAAACAGATACACAAATAAATATTTAAAAATGTGTATGATATGTAAATATACTTAATGATCAAGTGGAACTGGTTAATTTACATGGATTCCACAAATTACGCTACAATGTTTCTTTTTTTGTTGAATCGTATATTCACTTATAGTGTAGCCACCGTTGTTGTGTGTAGGCTTCGTGGGTGGGGGCGCCACTCCCCCTCCCTCCCCCGCATCATTCCCCCCTACCAAGCCCTCTGCAGTCTTCGGTTCGCCCTCGGCCTCCAAGTCAGGCCTCACCCTGGGGTCGGTGTTGTTGCAAGGTGCCCAAGGTAGAAACCGTGTGCGAGTGTCAGACTAACACCTATCATTACTCGTGTTGAAATCTATTGATTTTTAACTAATATTTTTTACAGTTTGTTTTGTTTGTTTTTTACTCACTCTTGGCCTAAATTTTAATTTTGTATTTTAATTTTAGTGTTTTGTTTTGAAAAGTTCTTTTATTGTTTCGTCAAATAAACTTTTGTTTTGGTTTTCTTACTTTTAAATGGAAACACTTTTGATACCTTTGGAAATATTTTGTAACTCATAATATTTCCACCAATCAACAGAAATAAACTTAAAACCGTAACAAAATAAATAAATGTGTTAATAAAAAATATTGAGTTGAAAAATTTTTAAAACAAGTCTTTGGAAAGTAAAATATAACTATTCATTTTTTTTTTGGACGACTAATCGTATAAAAAAATATGTACGAACATCACAAATCGGAAGTATGTCACCTTTTGAGCCTAAATATGACTTTTACTTTAGACATTTACTGGTTTCAATCTCTTAATTAATGAAATGTTGATATTAATATCAAATCGAAACCTTAATGCTGGAAATCAACAGGTTTAGACAAGGCTTTACCAATTGTACTTTATATACAAGGGTTGTCAGTAAATTAAAGTCTGCAGCCATCTCCGTCGCAGCCAAGTAAGCTAATTCTGATCTATGAACAACATTGTGTTCTTACTTTGCCCACTCCTGTTTTAGCTGGTTCTTACTCCGATTAGTCTCATCATTATTGATAATCCCAAAGTTGCAGTGGATTTTGTATGCGGATTATGGTGAGACTGAACAAGAGTGATTATTGTATTAATAGGGGACGTCCCTATAAGACTACGGTCAGCCCTGAAACACACCGATCAGTAAAATCTCTGCAAGCATTTTTTTTTAGAATTTAATCACTGTCATGATGGAAACTGGTAAACAGCCTACACCAGCACTGTTGGGCAAATGTTCACAGCCTTCTGCCAACTCCCCAAGCCATTTATAGACATTTTCTACATTGAAAAACTTGTATGCATACACATCTGTTAACTGGCCACAGTAATCAACAGAAATTGACCCCTTCCTAAAGAAATCTAACCAGAAAATGTGATTCATACTCGGCGGTAGCGTTAACGTTCTTACAAAACGTTTCCGAATACTATTACGTGAGTAATTATTCAATAGGAATAGGAACCACATAGAATAGTAGTGTATAAAGGAAGAAATGCAACAATAATCACAGATTTGAACTAGTTCTCTTGGTTGCGACAGGAGCTCAATATAGATCTTAATAATTTACGGAAAACCCGTATGCCTATACAATCAAAGAAAGGAACAATTTCCCGTTAGGTTTCACTGTCCCTTATAAAAACAAGGAGAATGTGTGTGGGGTTGTATGTTTGTGTGATGGTGTAAGGTGGTGGTAAGTTGTACAGTGTGCAGTGTGCATGTAGAGCTGCTGGCTACAAAACTCGACTGGTACCATCCGTCCGCAACGGCTCACGCCAAAGCCCTCAGTGGGCAGAACAACAACAGACGCAAAACTGACTCCAACACAGCTGGTAAGTAGCACGTTGCATGCACCACACACCTTCCCAGGTCAGGTTCAACAGAGCCACTACCTTAGAGTAGGTAAAGTAGTTCAAGTTTCATGAGATCAATTAGTTATTTTTCAGGAGTAAATAGTAATTTGTGGTGAGAGACTGTATATAAAAAAAATTATAACCCACAAAACTGATAAATAATCACAAATATACATAAGTTAAGAGGGTTCTACCCGGTCAATTCAAGATGCCGGCTAAACATGCCTCTACGTTACGTGTGCTTTTTTTGCTCTTAACATACGAGAGCTTGGGGATGAATTAATTTTAAACTATTATTTAAAACCACTAGTAAAAAAGATTAATTTACGGATTTTCAAAATTATTTTGTAATTTCTTAAAGTAACAATTACAAAATTTCAGTTCATCCAAGGCATAGTTTGGATCTTTGTGAATATTTTACACTTTATTTAAACTCGATAAACACTTTAATAATGCCACGAGGTTCTTTTTTGTAGGGCCATGTTTATGTGGTAACCAGGCGGCGGGTGGAACCCTCTTAATAGTGTATTTTGGAATAAGGCCCCTATTACACGAGGTAGCCTGGCGACGTCGCCAGCGACCAAACTGGCTACTCAGCTTGTCATGGGGCATTGATTCTTATGGATGTTATTACACGAGGGTAGCCAGCGACGCAGCCACACTTTGGCGACCGACTGGCTACCGAGCCCCGTCGCCACTGTGGTAGCCACTGGCTACCCATATTGGCGACGCTGCGTTGTAGCATATGGAGCTTATTACACTAGGTCGCCAGTATCACGTCGCCACTCGGTTAGTTCATATCACAGGGGTACTTGCACACTGTTGTGTTGCGTTCTGTTGTGTTGTGAGTGTGTGAATTGTTCACTTCAGTTGATAAAATGTCTATATCATCCTTTATGACTCAAAGAAACTGGATTGTGACATACAAAAATCATTAAAACATTTTTTATTGTCCGTACAGAGCTCATCAAAAAGGGTGTAATATAACCCTTTTGATTCTCTTGCACTAAGCATTGGATGAACGTACATTTTTCTCTTCCTTTGCCTCCTTTTCTTCAGAAGTAACAGAAGGAGAAGATACTTATAATCACTCATTATTCACTGTAAACACCGCTCATAACAAGTACAAGTGCAAGACAAGCACTCACAACAACGGCGCCACGGCGGTAAAATTCTGGCTACTCAACTGGTTATAGGTTTGGTGGCCAGTGCGTCGCCAGCTACTGCCGCTGGCGACGTCGCCAGGCTACCTCGTGTAATAGGGGCCTAATAGTAGGGTCTGTTAGGAAATTTTACAACGCAAAAGAAAACTAATGAAAATTTGTTTTATAATTCATGTTATAGTAAATTTCAAATTTAAGTAAATATAAGCCTATTGAGACATGAGGATGTTTTTTTGAAAAGATATTGAAATTTGTTAGGTTATTTAATGATAATGTTGTCACTTATTCACAAAACATTTGACTTTCCAATTTTAAGTTTGTACATAGTCAGTATTTTTTAGAGGTTCTGTTATGCTACAATAATCGAATGTTTCTCATTTATCAATTCACACATCTTTTAAATATTCTGTAGGATAAATAATTTTCAAAATTAGTTTTTTTTCTCAATCCCTTAGGTTTAAATGGGTTTAAACAACAAAATATGAACGGTAGTTACATTCATAAGGAAAAGGACTGACGGGATATTTATTAGTGATGTATCACTATCACTATGTAAATTTTGTTGACATATAAAATTCCATTTTGAGAAACATGGGTTAAACACATTCTGCCTTTTTTGAAGTAACTGGATGGAAAAAAATTTGCTGTTACCTTCATTTATTTTTCAATGGTTGCTTATGAACCTGGCCTATCACAAAACTACTTAGTGTCTGTGTAAGTATGACATACTCATCTTTGTTATACAGTAGTACATTTATATAGTAATTTGTAACTAATTTTGATTTGCAATAACTCAAACCTTGCTATAACGGTCCTCCCGTTATTTATATGGTAAAAATACCATTACATTTTAATTTATTTTTATCTTTTTACTATCTCCAAATCTAAAATAAAATCATATCTTTACTAACCTTCAAAGCTTCATTCACACATTTGGGTTTCATAAGCTGTTGTATCGTAAAAAATAGTCTTGACTTGGCCCCTTATTCCCCTTGGTGTCAAAAACTTTCAGATGGCATCTGAGGTTGAATAGGCTGTTTTTCCATAATACTTGGTATATTCAAATAGTAGAAAAAAGCCAATATTTATGCATATCTTTCTCAATTTTGAAAAAATTTACTTTGGCCCTTTTCCCCTGTGCCCTTAGTTTTGTGAACTTCTTTTATCTTTAGATAGAAAATGTCTTTTACCTGCAAGTATTATGCTTATACATTCAATTCTGAAATCTTGCATCTCAATTTCTATAAATCCCATCCAATTTGATATTTTGTATTTTTTATAAACTTAATAATACTACTTTTATGCTTAATGTTGCTATACATAAGTGTGTGTTTTAATATTTTTTTAAACTTTTTGATGCTTGCCTCCAAAAAACCTTGCAAAAATCTAAGCTTAATAATATTACAATTATTCATCAGTTATTCTTGTCCATTTTCAAATTTTGTACGAACCTCAAAATTTACCGAAGAAAGGATTAGCTCAACTGCATTATATTTAATATGTATAGTGGTTTTGTGGTGAAAATTATACTTCCATTTCAATAATTGGTGGTGTAAGGTACCATTCCTAAACTGTGACTGTAGCGGCTATGACTCATACTGCTTCACTTGTAAATAAACGCACCCGTTCATTCGTGACTGGTGAATGGGGACAGCTGCTGTGACTAAAGCTTTGTATAAAATTAAATGGTTTGCTTCAAAATATAACTGACCTACTGTTTTACTAGGTTTATCTTACGACGATTTCCAATTCAACACTTTTAGCATAAATAAAATAAGTATATATTTTTGACTCGTTTATGTTTTATTATACCTTCTTGCGTATTCCTGTATGGCTGATGGTCTTTAACGATATTTTACGCGAGTTTGTTTTAAACCCCTTTTTCCTAAATATATAATCAAAATCGGTCTTTATTATAATACTTAATCAAAGTTGTTCTTTATTATAATTCAATAAAATTTAACTTTGCATTAAAGAAATAGCTTTCCAAATTTTTAATAATCCTGTAAAAGGACTCTCGACTAACATTTTTTCAAGCCCCCCTTCACGTTGTATCAGAGTGGACGTGGCTTATCGTAAAAAAAAATGTCTTTCATCTTTTCTTGCGATATAAGATAGATTTAACGCAACACTATCTACATATAACACTCAATATCTCAGTCGCTATATGGGAATGTACCTGTCGGCCACAGTCATTACTTCTGTAAAAATTCACGGCTACGTTACAGTCATTGCTTAATGAGTTGTAACTTTACATTGTAACCATAAAAA